AAAAAAATATTCAAATTTAAATTTTAGGAATTTAAATTTCAAAATCTGAATTTGAATTTAAACTCCCAAAAATTTAAATTTTGAATTAAAAATAATATAAAAAAATCGAAAAAAAATTGGGTAATATTTTTCTTGCATTTTCATTCCAATATTTAGGGTTTGATATTCTAGAGCATGCATCATATAGGTTTATTTATTTGCTTAAATTATTATTGTTAGTTGCGAATGTGTTAGGTGTTCTTTTTATTCTTTTAATTGTTCCTTTCGCTTAGTTGTTTGTTTTATTCTTTTAGGTTTAATTGTTGAATTGCATCTTAGAAATAATTGTTCATGCTTTGTAATTAGTTGCATTTTGTTGTTGTGTTTATTTTGTCTTTCCGTTAATTCATTTAAGGGCACCCAACCTAAATAAGATAAGGTTGGGATTTCATCACCCTTCATTGGCCCAAAAATCACCACCATTCACGTGCGGTTCACCCTAACCCTAATTTAAAATTTGGATAGAAAGATCCTTTAGGGAAGCCTCACTTTTGGTTCAAAGGTGTGTTGAATTTTAGGAGAACTTGAAATTATTTTCCATAACCGGTGGTTGGTGTCTAAAGAAAGAGGTTAAACAACTAAGCCTAAGCGGGTTTTGTGGTTACTTAATTAGGTCTTTGCGAGAGCAAGGGAAGCCTCCTACATCCCCACCTCTTACCTGGCTAACCAAAGGAAGTCGTGTAATTCCAAGTGAACCTAAAAGGATTCACATTGGTTGAACCACTAGTTTAGGAAACCCTAGGTCAGCACTAGGTCGTGTGGTTGATTTGTTTGCATTTTCTTTGAAAGTTTAAAAATTCAAATTTGAATTTAAATTTTAGGAATTTAAATTTCAAAATCTGAATTTGAATTTAAATTTCAAAAATTTAAATTTTGAATTTTAAAAAATAAAAATAATAAAAATAAAAATAAAAAAGAGAAAATTCAAAAGTTGAGTTTAAATTTCAAAATCCACGTTTGAAATTAAACTCAAAATTTTAAATTCAAATAAGAAAATGGACTTCTGTGTTGTATGTTGGGAAGGAGATCTCTAAGGAGAGAAACTATAGAACCTATACCTAAAATAAAGAGATACCTCCATCATCAACACCGAAATCAAATGGTCGGAATCAATGATGCCCAACCTAGAAAGTTGAAGGAATACTTCACTCCAACACAATACAACCCTTCATCCTACATTTAGTTACCTGATACTCAGGCCTTACAATATAAAATTAAGTCAAGTACAATCCAAATGCTCCCATCCTTCTATGGGAACCCAAGTGAGGACCTATACAAGCACATAGATGAGTTCCTGGAAATATGTTCAGCTGTAAGGATTCAAAATTTCAATGATGGTGCCCTTAGATTGACTCTTTTCCCCTTCTCCTTAAAGGATAAGGCAAGCATTGGTTAGGGACTATAGGGACCCATTAGGACTTGGGCAGAAATGCAACAAGAATTCCTTAGGAATTTCTATCATATAGGTAGAACCAATACCATGAGAAGAGCTATCATGGGATTCACCCAAACGTCAGGTGAACAAATTCATGAGGCTTGGGAGAGGATGAAAGAGTTAATGAGAAAATGCCCACACCATGGCCTATCCCCGTGGCAAATTGTCTAGGCCTTCTATGAAGGCCTGACAGATCAATACAGGCAGATGGTAGATGCATCATGTGGGAGGGCATTTAGGAGCATGAGCGAGGATGAAGCTTATAATCTTTTCGAAACCTTGAGTGAGAATTCTATCAATAATGCGTCTTTATATTCCTATGAAAGTTCAGTGGGACCCTCAAAGAGGGCAGGGCTCTATGTGGTAAAAAATAATATAGAGCCTGAGGCAAAATTGGATTTGAATGCCATTTCTAGAAAGTTGGATAGGGTAGACCTTCTAGCCAAAAAACTCGACCAGTTTTTCACTCTTAACCAGCAATCAAGCCCATCTACCTCTTATCCCGAAGTATGTTCCATTTGTGCTAGCCCGGCCCATCAAGTTGATGACTGTCCTACTACGGCCCAGTTTCCACCTTTTATCCAAGAACAAGTCCAGGCAGCCCAGAGTTTCTCAAGGCTCACTAATGATCCATATTCTAATACTGATAACCCTAGGTGGAGAAACCAACCTAACTTTTCTTGGATGACACACCAATCCAATGTACAGTCCCATCAGCATCTGTCCAACTCCATGGCCCAACAGTTTCAGAGGCCAGTAGTACAAAACCAGTTCCAACAAGTGTACTCTAGGAGTCAACCGACCCAATCATATCAGGGCTACCCGCAACCCCCTCAATCCCGATCAATAGATGATCAATTTATGCAGCTACAACAATTGATCCTAAATCAACTGCAATACATTGCTAGGTTAGAAAGCCAAATAGGACAGCTAGCTGAAGCTAATGCAAGAAGGGCAGTGGGGCAACTATCGAGTCAACCGGTTGTAAACCCTAGGAATCAGCCACTGGGTTTTTCTCAGCAAATTCAACCACCTCCTCAGATTCCCCAATTCGAAAATGCTAAAGCTATAACAACTTTAAGGAGTAGGAGAACTTTGGAAGACCCGTATGAGAAAGAAAGTAAAGAAGAAAAAATGGAGTCTGAAAACCTTAAACTGAGGGGGGGGGAGAAGAAGAAAGGGAAAACTTAGAAAAAGTACCTAAAGTGAACCAATTTGTAGTCCCCTTTCCTATCGCACTCATAGTTGGGCCGTCATGGAAAAAGAAAGGGATTCGCAATGAGGAGATCAGGGAACTTTTCAAACAAGTATACATTAATATCCCGCTCCTCAAAGCGAATCAACATGTCCCGGCTTATGCAAAGTTTCTAAAAGAGCTATGCACCCAAAAGAGGGAGCCACGATCGGCCCCACAAAAAGTGATGCTTTTAGCAGATGTGAGTGCGGTCCTCCTGAACCAACTTCCCTGGAAAATGAAAGACCCGGGTGCTCCTCTTATTATCTATATAATTTTTGGAATCACCTTTGATAGGGCTCTATTGGATATAGGGGCTACTATGAACCTGCTTCCGTCCATTATTTATGAAAGGTTCAAGGTCGGCGAGTTGAAACCTACACCAATAATTCTGCAACTCGCTGATCGGTCGGTCAAGACTCCTCGAGATGTCATTGTCAGGACAGAAAATGGTTATTTCCTTGTAGATTTTGTTATCCTAAACATGACCCCAACTGAAGAACTGAACTACAACTCGATAATCTTAGGACAATTGTTTTTAGCAACGGCTAAAGCAAATATCAACTGCAAATCGGGGGAAATGGACATCTCATTTGGGGAGCAAAATGACAAAATGCCACATTAGGGTAAAATTATTACGTGTCATTTCACAAAATGCCACATTGAAATTTCAAAACAATATTCTCCACGTTTGAATGTTAGAAAAGCACAAAATCACAACTTTTAGGCTGCATTTGGCATTCCTTATTTTAAGGACTTATCTCCTTTTTATAGTTAAAAATTTATTATTCATATGGGCATTTTAAGTATAAAAAAGAGATAAATTCTTAAAATAACGAATGCCAAATGTAGCCTTAATATTATATCCTTTAACAGCAGAAAAGTTATAAATATAAATAGCGTTTCTCATTCTTCTATAACCTATAACTACGGATTTTTGATTATCCGTAGCTATAGATATAAATAGCCTTTAACCCTGGACAACATATCCGTTGTTATAGGTCAATTTCAATCTTCTACAACATATAACAACGGATATTAAAATCTGTGGCTATAAATAGGTTTTAGCCACGAGTACAGTGACATTTAGCTACAGACAAAATGACTGTAGTTAGAAATCAAGTTTTAACCACGAGCATTTCATATTCGTAGCAATAGCTTATGCTTTAGGTACGGTTTCTTGTAGTGGTGTTAGGAGGTCAACAGGAAGTTCAACTATAGAGTTCTTGATCAACAACTAACTTTCCTCAGGCATGCTTTTGGGACTCTAAGAGGAGGAGGAGACAAACTCTGCCTTCTTCTACAGATAGACAAACTTGAATGGACTAATCACTCTCTTACAAGTAAGCATCTCAAGAAAGGGAAAGAGAAATGGGGTAAAGTAATATTTTATTTATGGAAGTGGCCAGACCCATGAGATGGGTTGCTCTATGTACTCCTTTGAAATGGATCAGGCCGGACGTAGTTCAAAAATGGAATTAAGACCGACACCCTTGGCTCTATTAAGGAGGAAGCAGTCAGATTTGCTAGTTGATAAGTGATTGCAAGATTTTGGAAAAGATTTTGTACCATGACTTGGTAACTGATCTAGTCACTATCTGACAAGGAATTGGTTAAAGACTCTCGATGGTGCTTTCCTATCAACATAATCCAGTTAACAACTACTTTCTTTATTTCACTCTTGCTCACTCTGTCTCTTTTGATTTTTATGATTTTTTGGAAATTTTTTAATTTTATTTATTTATTTATTCCTCAAACTTTTACCCCCTTTAGCCTTGATTTTTTTTTCTGTTCTTTATTTTTATTTTTTACCATTTATCTTATTTCATTTTATTATTATTGTTGATCCAACGGTTCAAGTAGAGTCCAGACCTACAATAGTTCCTTAGTAACCAGGGAGCTAGTGTTGCAACATGACAACTCACCATCAGGGCGTTAGTAGAAGTGTTCAAGAGGCCACTCGAACCCTATCACATAGATAAAGTTCCATGTAGAGTTCACCCCAAATGAAATGCTGGCTACAGACCTCCACCACAACCGGCCTCTATACATCACGACCAAGATAGAGGGATATGAGATGCGGCTCTTATTGATCAAAGAGAAACTATTAAAGGGCTGCCAATGGAAATCATAAACTTCAACGGTAATGCATGTATCACATAGGGGTCAATCGAGCTACCGGTGGCTATTAGGCCATTCTCCATCAACTAGGAATTCTAGGTGATTTCTGATAATACAACATATCATGCACTACAAGAAAAATGAAAATTAGCGACAGTTTAGAAGATAGCTAAAGGCCGATTGCCGCTAGAAATAAGATTCTCTAGCGGCAGTCGTTTAAAACTATCACTATAGAATAATCGATTGCCACTAAAAGTTGTGGCGCAAATGAGGGCTTCTCACTCTTTCTGCTCTCTTTCCCTCTTGCGCGATCTCTCTCACAGTCGACGTCAACCTCTCACCACCAAACGACATCCAAGGACACCTATTAATCTCTTTCTCTCTATCTCCCCTTTCTCATTCTCTGCTCGCTCTCTTTCAGTCTCTCTCTCACGCGATCTCTCTCTCACAATCGACGTCGACCTCTCACCACTAGATGGCATCCAAGGACACCAGCATCAATAGGTAATCTCTTTCTTTCTCTCTCTCTCTCTCTATATCTATCTCTCCTTTTCTTATTCTCTGCTCGCTCTCTTTCAATCTCTCTCTCGCGCGATCTCTCTTTCTCATGATCGACGTCGACCTCTCACCATCGAACAACATCTTAGGACACCAACATCACTAGGTAAACTCCAAAGGTTTAGAAGGAATCACTGGTTTTGGGCGTACAAGCTGTAAGTTTTGGGACACTGCTGGATTTAATTTTAAACTAGGGTTTTTCTTTTAGTTCTAGTAAAGAATGTTTTTTCTTTTTAATGTTGTATTTGTTGCAAGCGACCATGGAGATTCCAGTGAGCAAGGATACACCACAAAAGGTTACTCTAAAATTGGTGACACTAGGGAAAGCACTTCAATTAGTATGTTTTTTTTTTTTTTTTTTCTATTAATTTACTATGTAGAAGAATAACAATCCTAGCAAAAATGTTGAATCAAATTTTATCCTCTTTTGTTTGCATAAGTGTTTAATCGGCTATGTTTAATCGGCTACTGCAGAAATAACAAAAGTAAATTGGTTTTTTGTTATTTTGCTATGCTTAGATAGAGAATACCATCTATAATGAGAAGCCATAAAAGACTTAGATGTTATTGACCTGATTTGATGCAGTAAGGTTGGACATTATGTGAGAAATAAACCAGGACTATGTTATAGAGAACACAGATCCTCCTCTATGTGTATGAATATGTGCTCTTACAGAAATTCATGCTTGTTTGTTGATCCATATGTCCGGTCAAGCATATAGCAGATAGCTTGGTGAAATGGATTATTTAAATTTCTATTTCCATGTGGATTTAATGATTGTGTGTGCTTTTTAGGTGAAGTATTTTGTTATTTGGTAAAACTATTATAATTTTTTTTCTTAATTCTGATTCAAAGTGGATGTTATTTGAGTATTCCACCTAGGAAAATAACTTGGAGATTTCAGGTTTTATTTCTCTTTTTTGGTAAATTTTCACTGCCTGGGTGACTTGCAAACAATGTGCCCCTGTTTTTTCCATACTAGCCCATTACAACTTGAAAACTGTGGCTCAGAGCTATAGATAAGGGGAAAAGAAACTAGAGAGGGAAAAAGAGAAAACTGAAATGAAATTAAGAGGGAGAGATTCAAGGTTAGGAAGCGTATACCAAGTGATAGAATTTTTGTTCATACTCTGAATTCTGAAATCAACTTTTGTAGGCAATAAAGAAATACCATGTCCAAAAAATAAGTACAACTGAGGTGGATGTCATATCAAAATGAGACAGTTATTGCCTTGATGTCAGATCAGAATGAGGGTGTCTTTTGCATTGATTAACTGAAAATATTGACTTCTAAAGAGTCAAAAACAGAAAACACTCAATATTACATACAGAGTTGGCCAGATATGAAAATCTACCAAATTACTAACTTCCCCCATCCATACCCTCATCTGGCCTCATTACAGAAAGAGATGATTAGGTACCAGAGAAAGGATAGTGTTAAACTTACTGCAACACTATATTTGCCTCTAGGATATGATCCCTCTAAAGATGGTCCCCTTCCATGTCTTGTGTGGTCTTACCCTGGAGATTTTAAAAGAAAAGATGCCGTTGGACAGATCTTTGGTTCTCCTAATGAGTTTGCAGGCATAGGCCCAACATCAACCCTTCTTTGGCTGGCCAGAAGGTATTTATCTTTCTTGTACCCTTAGTGGTTTTTAACTTCTTCCATCTTTCCTAGTATGATTGATTTGTTTGTTACCACATTTCCTTTTGATAGAATCTCTCTTATAGGATTTTGTGATTAAATAACTTTGGGACAAATATAATTAATGTTCCCATGTCCTGCAGATTTGCTATTCTATCTGGTCCAACAATACCAATTATTGGTGAGGGTGATGAAGAGGCAAATGACAGGCAATCTGATTCCCATCTTTCCAGGAAAGGTGGTTTCTTTCTCAAAGTCCTGTAAAGTTCCATTTTGTACCCAAATGCAGATCCTATCTATCTAATAAATGCGGTCACTGGTTCTCCTATCTTGTCTCTTCACATATCATCCTTACCAATGGAATCTCTATTTCATACCCTGCTTCAGATTTCTGTTTACATGCTTCTCTTGTTATCCAATAGTTCTTTTTTTTTTCAGTTTTTGTTATTAACCCCAAGCTTTACTTCCAGTGGAAGGGTGGAAACTGTTAAATTTTATTAGATATCCAAAAATACCTGGGGAAGGGGGGGTTTAAATACCTTACCCCTTAGAAGCTATACAAGTTGGTCATTGGTTCACAAAAACAATCAGCCTAATAACCATTAAAAGCCAAAACCAAAACTGACTCTATTCCATCTAGTAAAAGGAAATTTCTTTTTCTTTTATTATCAATTCAACTGTTATTAAATCTAGAAAAACTAATTTCGATAACTTAAAATTTTAGAACTTTATCCATAGATCTAACTTGTCTTAAATAGGTATGTGGAGCATCTAGTTGCTAGTGATGAAGCTGTAGTCGAGGAAGTTATATGGCGGGGGTAAATCTTCTACAAAATTTCTCCCTGATGAACATCATTGGTATATTAGTATATACATTATGACTTGGTTTTTCTGGTCAAACACTTGTTTTAGGTGGCTCATCCAAACAAAATTGTTGTTGGAGATCATTCTTATAGGGCATTCATGACTGCAAATCTCCTAGCACATGCTCCTCATCTCTTCTATTATGGAATTTCTCGCTTTGGACTTACAATAGAACACTTACTCCTTCTAGTTTTCAGGTAATAACATCTTATGACTTGTCTAAATCCATTTTTACTTAACAAATTGTCAAGAGCTTTTGCTTTTTCTCTCCTTATCTGCAATGATTTGCATTTCATGCCTTTTTACTCTATGTTGTCACTGTTGTGGAATGAGGACAAAACACTTTGGGAGGCCACTAGTGAAGGGAAAGGAGATACATCATATGGATGGCCGAACCATGCAGGGTGGCTGTGTGAAATTTCAAAAATTTTTCTCCCTTCCGGGAATCCTATTCCTTGATTTAGAAAAACTGTATTTTTCAAGGTTCATTCTTGAAACAAACCAGACCAGATCTAAAACCAAGATTAAGGGAGGGATATACCTGATACGGAATTAACAGTAGTTCCCAACGTAGGTGTTCATGCCCAAAGAGTTCACCAAATCCGTCTTCCACTGAAGATGACACAACTTATGGTGAGGTAGGATCAGCAAAGAGATTCTTCAGTAAAAACCCCAATTCTTCAGCAAGAATTACGCAGGGATGTGAGCACAATTTCAAGATTGAGTCTTCTAGCAAGAAACAATATCAAGATACAATCTTGATCACTCCAAGAACTGGAGATCGAACAGGGTAGGGTGGCAAGAGTAGAGAGAAGATTTGAGATTTGCAAAAAGTGTTTAACAGAATGATTTCTCCCTCTATTTATAACTTCTCTAGATCAGCTTCCTAATCCTATCAGGAAAGGGTTCTTTGATCCAAATCTCTACTTGGATTTGAACTCTTAAGTGGATAACACATATCTTATCCTCTTGCTAATCTAGAAGCAAATCTAAACTCAAATTCGCCCATCTCTTATTAATCTCATTAAGCCAGTTCAAATTAGGCTTTAGGCCCATTAAGTCATCAAGCTCACTTCTCTTTTATTTGGTGGCTAGCTTGGCTCTCTTTGTATGGCGTGGGACCCTAACATTGATCTCCACAAAAACCATATGGGTTCAGCCTAGCCTTTGTTACAAGGCTTGGCTGAATTCACTACTGAAGATAGTGAACCATTGAACCCATTAGTATGGGCTCTTACTAGGCCCAACATTTACACTAAATGGTCATTGGGTCCAGCCACCTAATGAAGGCCCAAGGACTATGGTCTTAAATGAGATTAATCCATCAGGTAAAAGCCCTAAATGGTCATACACTTAACCTCTCAGCCCATAATGATCAAACACTATCTGACAAGAGTGGACCTCTCCCTTGGTTGCAAGGTACAATGTTGCACTCTTTGCTCACATAGATCCCGACAATTAAAATATTTTGCAAACATTTTGTGAAATTATAATATATGTATACCTCTATATAAATATATTTTCTAAAACAAATCTCAACAATTTTGAAATCAACTGCCGGTAGTTTTAGGTTTCCATCAGAGAGTGCATTCTCCGATCATTCACTTTGTTCGACAAAGGGGCTGATTCTGTCATTATGATCACCCACTCAGGTGAATTCTCAGATTGCCCCAATATACCTATGTTTTGACCCCCGCTAAGGATCTCACTGATTGGCATATCAAAGACAGTCCATCCAACACCTAGTGCAGTACCATAATCGAGTCTAGGGGTCAGGTGTAATTTTTCAGTTTTGACCATCTATCTCCAAGGTTTAGGGCATAATTGAAAAATGGTCTAGTTTAGAGTTTCAATCAAACCTACACTACATGTGCTTCAGGTCTCACTCTAGCAGTTGAGACAAGCCACCCCAACCGACTTGACAGCACATTAGTGTCAACCATGGCAAGAAAAACCTCCATAGGTCTATCCAACAGCTGTGAAGATTCTAAACTAACATGAGTCTCATAAGTGTCTAATTTAAGGGTATTATACAGAAACACGCCAGATATAACATGAATCAATTATGCATTATTATTCATTTACAATAAATGTCAAAATTACATCAATCCGATTGGAGCTAAGGGCATACATTGTCTAACAGTTCCCACTTGTACTTAGGTCCAATCGTATACAAGCCTTAGTCCCAAATTGTCAACATGTTTCGCACACACTTTCTAGGTCAATGGCTTAGTTAATGGGTCTACAACATTCTCCGTTGATGCAACATTCTAAATCAGGATGCCTCGTCTAACAACAATCTCCCATAGATCTAGTGTTGTGACACTTGATACATTAGGCAGTCTCACTTACAGAAATGTGCTTGGCTTGGGTCGTTGACAATTTTTCTACTACAGGACCCCATAAAAAAGATGCAACCAGATATGGACTTTCTACCATCTGGATCTGAATGGAAGTCGACATCGATATATCCTAGGATCTGTAGTGAACTACCATCGAATACCAGACAAAACTCTTTTGTCATTCGAAAGTATTTCAGTATGTTTTTCACAGCTATCTAGGGCTCCTGTCCTATGTTTGATTGATATCTACTTACCACACTCACTGCCTGAGCAATGTTAGGCCGAGTGCATAGCATGTCATACATAATGCTCTCTACGGCTGAGGCATAGAGAACCTCTCTCATGCCTTCAATCTCCTCGGGAGTCTTGGGAGACATACCCTTGGAGAGAGTGACTCCGTTCCTAAAAGGAACATTTCCTTTCTTGGAGTTCTCCATGATGTATCTCTTGACAATTTTGTCAATTTTAGTAGACTGGGATAATCCTATTATCCTCTTCGATCTATCTCTATAGAGTCGAAATCCCAAAATGTAGGAGGCTTCTCCAAGATCTTTCATGGATAATTGCGGTGAAAGCCACACTTTCACCGTAGTTAACAATCCTACATCATTCCTAATGAGTAGAATGTCATCTACATACAGAACAAAGAATGTAACTTTATCTCCTATTGTCTTATTGTAAACACAGGGCTCATCTGGATTCTGCTCAAAGTCAAAATATTTGACGGTAGAGTCAAACCGGATGTTCTAGCTCCTAGAAGCTTGCTTAAGTTCATATATGGATCAAATAATTTTACACACACTGTGTTCTTGACCTATAATGTTGCTGTATGTAGATATCTTCAATAAGATATCTGTTCAGGAACGCAGTTTTGACATCCATTTGCCAAATCTTGTAATCATAGTATAGTGCTACAGCTAGTAGGATTCTAATGGACTTAAGCATGGCCACTGGTGAAAAGGTTTCCTCATAGTCGATCATTCTTTTTGAGTACCATTTTGCCACAAGACGAGCTTTATAGGTCACAATCTTATCATCAGGGCCCTTCTTCCTCTTGCAGATTCATTTGCAATAATTGCTTTCACCCCAGGGATGGGTTCACAAGAGTCCAGACCTTGTTGGTCTCCATCGTGTCTATCTCAACTTTCATGGCATCTACCCACTTCAAGGAATCTATGTCCAACATAGCTTATGTATAAGTCACGTGATCTTCCTTACTGTTCATGGCTTCCATCAAGTAACTTTCTTGATCATAGCCATAACGTATTGGAGGCCTAGAAACCCAGGTAGACCTTCTAGGTTGGTTACTATCTAGAGCCTGTAGGAAATCTCCCATTACCTCTGGGCTCTCCTCATCAAGAATTATTTCCTGACGATGATTGTCCAGGATGTAGTCTTTTTTCAAGAAATAGGCATTTCGACTACAAAACACATTTTGCTCCTTTGGTCATAGAATAAGTAACCTATGGAGCTTTTGGGGTAATCTACAAATAGGCAACGACTAGTCTTGGATTCCAATTTGTCAGCACTTATTCTTTTAACATGTGCCAGACAACTCCAAATCTTCAAGTATCTTACACTTCGTTTCTTACCGGTCCATAGCTTATATGGAGTCTTATGAACGAATTTGGTTGGAACCCAGTTCAGCATGTATATCGTAATCTCTAATGCGTAACATCAAAAGGATATAGGTAATTCCGAGTGGATGAGAAGTGAACAGACCATATCCAATAGAGTCTGATTTCTCTTTGATACACCATTTAATTATGATGTAATAGGAGGAACTAGTTGTGATACAATCCCATTTTCCTTTAAGTAGTCCCTGAATTCGTCGGAGAGATATTCGCCTCCTCGATTTGTCGAAGGACTTTAATTTGTCTCCCCAATTGTTTCTTGACCTCTTGTCTGAACTCCTTGAACTTTTCAAAGGATTCAGATTTGTGTCTCATTAGGTACAACCATACTATGAGAAATCATCGGTAAATGTTATAAAATAAACGTGCTGGTTACGTATCCTAACATTCATAGGACCATATACATCAGTATGTATTAGTTCATGTGTGCCTGTAGATCTTTTAGGCTTACCTATAACTAGTCGTTTCATCATCTTACCCTGAAGGCAAGGTTCATAGGTTGGAAGATCTTCTACAGTTAAAAAATCCAAAGGACCATCCTTTATCAACTCAATGATGCGATCTATGTTAATGTGGCCAAGTCAGTAATGCCACAGGCACGTGGGATTAACTGTATCACGTGTTCTTTTCTTGGGGATTATTTTCAACAGTTTTGGTTAAGTTAGTTGCCAAACAAGGATGGAGAACATAGAGACTATTATCAAGTTCTCCGTAAGTGAGGAATTTGTTATTCTGTTTAATAGTAATCACCTTACTAAATAAAATAGAATAACCATCCATACACAATTTTGAAATAGAAATCAAATTTCTTCTCAAAGTAGGTACATAAAGACAATCTTTAAGAGTAATTATTCATTCTTTGTAATATAAATCTACAGTTCTTATGGTTGTAGCTACAACAATTGCAGATGTCCCCAAGTAAAGAGTCACTTCTCCGTCACTCAGCCTTCTGCTTGTCTTGAACCCTTGCAATGTGTTACATGCATTAGTAGAAGCCTCAGAGTCGATATAATATGATGCAGAAGTATCTAACAAATTGGTTTCTATGACAAAGGATTTGAAATTACCTTGCTTCTTAGTCTTCAGAGATTGAGAATAATTCTTCTTCCAGTGGCCGGTCTACTTGCAGAATTGACAAGCATCTAATGTTTGTCATTCTTCTACTTTTTAAGTTTGCTAACCTTTTTCTGAGGCTTCTTCTTTGCCTTCCGCTTTTTTTTG